TATGAGTGTCCAGAGTGTGGGAAAAGTTTCAATAAGAATTCCCACCTGGTGACACACCGGAGGACTCACACAGGAAAGAAACCGTATGTGTGTCTAGAATGTGGGAAAAGTTTCAGTCAGAATTCCAGCCTGGTGATACACCAGAGGACTCACTGCCTTGATAAAGGCTAACTATTTGTTTCTGGTGATCAGGAGAACTTTCTGGATATTTCCTTTTGCAGAAGTGTAAAATTCTTCAAAAAGGTTTTGGGTGGATTATTAAGATTTATTATGGAATTTCTTTCTTGTACCTTGGTATCCTCCAGATTTTGAGTGCCGGAATATCCCAACCACCATACAAATGGTCCTCGAGATATAAGGGTAATTGGCCCTATCAATTATGGTTTTATGTTGCAATCACCATTAAATGGGCCTGCTTTGCTTAACTACCCCCACCCCCTTCTCTCCCTGATAAACCTGTTAAATGAATGTGTGAGTTTTTAAGCAGAATACTGGCTACCTCAGGATTCTAGGCATAGCCCAAGCCCAGGCTTGCATTCCAAAGGCCGCCTCTACCTCAACCCTTTGATCACCTGAGTCCTTTCCCTTTTCCACAGGGTCCTCACTGGGTTCTTCCTCCTGCCCCCCTGCAAGATCCCCACAGGCTTTTCCCCACTCCCACTGGGTTCCTGCGATCCTTAGACCTGACTCCCACCCCAGAAGGCCTCACAGCTTCCTCTTCCTTACCTTTTGACAGTCACTGAACCTCATTTTGGGGAAAGAGGGCAGGACATGCATCCCTGGCATGACTGTATCATGGAATCAGCCGTCATTTTCAGTGTGCCTGGAATTCATTATAGTGACAGCAGGGATCAAACGTGGTGCCATCGGTCCTGAGTCCCTTCATGCCCACAAGACATTTAAGTCCAGCCCACCTTGAATTTCTTTGAGTCTTTATCTATTTCTAAATTGCTTTGATTGTTGTTCAGATTCTTGCAGAGATCTTTAGCTTGCAATAAATCTTTATACCCATTTGAACAGCATGATGTTCTGATTTCCCTGGTGCTTGACAGGGAGCGCACTTTCACTCCCCCACCCAGCTCCCTATTCCCCCCAGCAGGCCTGGGAGCAAGCAGCCAATTTGGAGAAAGGCTTGCAACTCTCATCCAAAGAGCCCCTCCCTGGAGAGGAATTCTGAGGGAGGGATCCTCCCCTAGAGTTCCTCTCCTGTTACTCATCCTCATCAAAGCATTTTTCCTGGATATCTCCCCCCCCCGCCATGTTTTTCCTGCCCCCATTCTTTGCCCCTCTGTTCTATGCATTCCTCCTGTTGCCTTCCCTGTCCCACATTCTTCCCTCAGACCTCGTGGGATGGTAAGTCTGAGCTGGGCTGGATCTTCCCTGCAGATCAGCTGATCAGAGGGTCCCAGGCAGGAGGGACTGAGCCCCCAAGGAATTGCAAACAACCCATGATTTCTCCATAGATACCTTGGAAAGACTAGTCACTAGAGGAGGAATCTGCAACGTTGGACCCATTTCCCACAGGAAAAAAAAAACAGGAGCCACAAAACGTGGGTCTGTGTGGCCAATTCGACATCACTCACTCCCGTCCAGTCACATGAGGTTCCCAGACACATCTACCCAGGTTTTGCGGCTCCCAGTATTTTCTTTTAAACAGATACCTCTCTCATCTCTTTTTCTCTCTGTCTTTCTCCTTTCTTCCTCATCTCTCTCATTTCTTTTTTTAAAAAAAAAACCATTTTATTGTTTTTTTAAGACAAACATAAAAAACACAACATAAAAACATCAAACCATCTTCCATATATGCACATACAGTGTGTCGGTTGGTTGTTTTGTGCTTCCACTTAGTAGTCTTCGATTAGAATTACATTTTATATGTTCTTATATTGTCAATCAAATATTCCTAAATACATTAATATCATTATTAATCAATCATTTGACTATACCATTATTCATTCATGTTTTACAAAATAATCCATATTTTACTGAATTTATTTTACGACAGTTCATATTTCCATCTCAAATCTATCCTATAATCATTTTGTAGATATAATAAAAAATACAACTTTATTCATTATGTTCTAAAAATCTACATATTTCGTTACCATTTTTTATTGTCTAAGCATTGATAGAATAGATCCCAAATTTTATAAAATTGTTTATCTTCTTGTTCTCTGATTTCAAATGTCAATCTACTCATTTCAGCACATTCCATTATGTTCTTAATAACTTCCTCCTGTGTTGGTATTTTCTCATTTTTCCAGTTTTTAGCAAATATGATCCTAGCCACTGTTAAAACATTTACAATCAAATATTTCAATTCTTTACTATTTATTTCAGGTAAAATTCCCAATAAAAATATCTCTGGTTTCAAATCTATATGCTTTTTTGTCATTTTTTTCAACCATGTGTTGATTTTAGTCCAATATTTTTTGGCATCCACGCACATCCACCACATATAGTAATATGAGCCAGGTATCTGATGACATTTCCAAAATTTTTCAGACTTGTTCTTGAATATTCTTGCTATTCTTGTTGGGGAAAAAATGCCACCTGTAAAACATCTTATACAAATTTTCTTTATATGCTGTTGACATTGTCATTTTATAATTTTGAGACCACAATTTTTGCCATTTCTCTAAATCAATCCCATATCCAAAATTCTTCCCCCAAGCAATCATTGTTTCTTTAACTTGTTCTTCTTCTAGTTTAATTTCTAATAAATATCCATACAATTTTTAAATCACTTTTTCATCAGTACCTGTCAAAATCTTATCTAAATCAGTCAATTTTTCATAGAAACCTTCTGTTTTAGAATCTTTATCATACCTAGAATGTATTTGCGCATATGAAAATCAATTCATCTTTATACCTTGTTTCTCTAGTTTTTGCATAGATTTAAGTTCACCCTTTTCATTCAATATTTCACCATATCTAACTGTTTGTTCCTTTTTGTATATTATAGGATAAGAAAATGCTTCAATAGTTGATAGCCAGACCAGAATTTTCAAATAACATTGCCTTTTAGTCTTCTCCCAATTTAACCACAGAGACTCCCGTATATAACGTCTTCTAAAATACCCCTGTGTTTTAGTTCCTTTATACCATAAAAAAGCATGCCACCCCAATAACAGATCATGTCCTTCTAATGTCAACAATCTAGCATTTCTTAATGTTATCCATTCCTTAACCCACATCAAATTTGTAGCTTGGTAGTACAACTCCCAATTAGGCAAACCAAATCCTCCTCTTATTCTAGTATCTTGCAAAAGTTTTAATTTTATTCTTGCTTTCTTACCTTGCCGTATATATTTCAACACAATTTTATTTAAATCTTCAAAATAATCTTTTCCAAGCCTAATTGGAATTGTTTGGAACAAACATAAAATTCTGGGTAATATATTCATCTTGATTTTTGATATTCTCCCTATTAATGACAGTTGTAAATTTTCCCATTTCACCAAATCTAATGCTATTTGCTGCTTAAATTTAATATAGTTATTCTTTTTTAGTGTACTACATCTTGCTGTCAAATGTATCCCCAAGTACTTGATCTTATTTGTGACCTGGATTTTTAATACATCCGCCAGTTCTTCCTTTTGTCTTGATAACATATTCTTTGTCAGAATCTTTGTCTTTATTTATTTTCAAACCGACCACTTTCCCATATATCTCTATCTTTTCTATCAATTTTAATGCTGTTTCTAGTGGGTCTTCTAAAATAAAAACCAGATCATCTGCGAATGCTTGCAACTTAAATTCTTCCTTTTTAATTTTCATCTCTTTTATATCATTTTCTTCTCTAATATTTCTATTTAGCACTTCCAAGGTGAACCCAAACAACAAAGGTGACAGTGGGCACCCTTGTCTTGTTTCTTTTCTTATATCAATAGAGTCTGTCAGTTCTACCTCTATCATTACCTTTACCATTTGGTTATGATATATAGTTTCTATTGCTTGGATGAATTTTTCACCAAAGCCCATCTGTTCCAGTTGTAAGAACACGAATCGCCAATTCACATTGTCAAATGCCTTCTGTGCATCTAAAAATATCAAAG